ATGCAGTCCAAAAGGTGCGTGTTGCTAATCACTGTCATGTGACTTGAAGCAAGAGCCATGCAGTCCTAAAAGGTGCGTGTTGCTAATCACTGTCATGTGATGCAAGAGTCCTGCAGTTGCAAGTACTATAAAACCCTTAAAATATAAATAATTTTTTAATTGGCCCCCCGGGTCGCTATTTAAACCCAAGATAAGGGAACTGAAAACACAATGTGGATTGTCACTTGCGCGAGGGGGGAGCGTACCTTGCTTCAAGGGTTCATGCGCTGCCGTCGTTGAGAGCAGAGTGTTTTGCCTTTGCTGAGGCCATCAACATGCGCCCCGCTTACCGGTAAGGCTGCAAAGAATATGTGGATGGTTGTGAAAATTATGGTCCCTTTTTGGGTCCTTATTATAATACGGCACCTATTATTTCGGGTACCCCAAAAGGGACCCTAATTTTGACAACCACCCATGTGGTTGTTTGGGGTTGAGGATGCCCTTCACCCTAAAATCCATGTACAAGTACCTACAGAGCCAGCCCAGCCCCGGCCCCCTTGGCCAGCCAAACCTGCCCAGCTTCAGCCGAGGAATACAAAACTCGGCCGCAACTTTCGGTCAAAACGAAGAAAACGTTTCCGTTAAAACTTTGGGTCAAAACTGCCAAGACGGTTTTTATAGAAACCCTCTTTGTTAACACTTTTCGGTCAAAACTAGCGCACCCCCGAGCAACCCTTAACAAGCTCTACAAGCCCTACATCCTCCAAGCAGGAGCAGAACGGCCAAGCTGGAGACCCAGCAGAGGATTCTGCGTGGCTTTCGAGTCATTGACTTTGGGGCCTTAGGGCTCATAGGGCTTATGGGCTATAGGGTTGTAGGGTTATCGGGTTTAGAGTTAACAGGGTTAGTAGGGTTTAGGGTTATAGGGTTTGGGGTTAAAAGGGTTGATAGGGTTGTAGGGTTTAGGGTTTATAGGGTGGTTAATGGGTTGAGGACTTAGGGTTTTGGGTTTGCAGGGATTTTTGGAATCAGGGCCATAGGGTTCTAGTAGGGTTTTGGGGTTTTGGGTGTTCAGGAGGAGGGAGTATCGCGGGGGTCGAGCACAGGATAAAGCAGTTCGGTGAAAAAGCTCGTGGCTTTCGGCATATGGGTAGTTCTCTAAATTAGGGTCCCTGTTGGGGTACTGTTTATACGGGTGCCGTACTATACGTGGGATCTAAAACGGGACCCCACTTTAGAGAACTACCCATATACGGTTTCAGTCCACTGGTCAATTTTGGGTTTCGGGTTTAGGTTTTAGGGGGTTCGGCGTTTTGTAGGTTTCAATTGAATTGTAACAGAGGGGCCCTTGTCCTGTCCACCCTAATAGCAAAAACGCATTGGGGCGAATTCTACCGAAATCATCCCTGCACTTTATAAAAAGTATTCTGAATTAGGGGCAGGGTTTCGAGGACCCAAATACCCATACAGCACAGTAAGAGCAAGAGCAAAAGCAAGAGCAAGCGCCGGAGCAAGAGCAAAAACGAGCAGCAGCAAGAGCAAAGCAAAAGCCATAGCGGGAGTAAGAGCGAGAGCAGGAGCAAGAGCGGGAGCAACCGCAAGAGCAGGAGCAGGCGCAAGAGACGCAGCAGAAGCAGGAACAAAAGCCGTTGCGGGAGCAAGAGGCAAGAGCAGGAGCAAGAGCATTGCCCCTCCAAACTGGCAGTAGAGACAAGCAAGACCCCCTGAGAGTTCCCGGGAATCCTAACTACACCCTAACAGCATAATGCTACAACCTGAGGCCTAAGCCTTTAAAAGAACCCTACAGATCCCTTAAGGGAGCCTTTTACAGGAACCTTGAGGCTTTCTTTGGGAGTCGCCGAGTCCCTATGCCTATAAACCTTAAATGACACACTTTGTTTAGGGTTTAGGAAGTGTGCCGGGTTCAGGGTTTAGGGTTTAGGGTTGAGGGGGGGTTCCGGGTTCAGGGTTTAGGGTTTATGGTTTAGGGTTTAGGGTATGGTTTCCTCATATACTTCCTTAGAAACGATTGGTTTTCAAGGTTCCGGGTAGGTCCTAACCCCGAAACCGTAAACCCAATAAACTCTAAGCCCTAAGCCCTATACCCAAGCCCCTAAACCCTAAACCCCTATACCGTAAACCCTATAAACTCTAAACGTTAAACCCTAAACCCCTAAAGCCCTAAACCCCTAAACCCTATAAACTCTAAACCCAAAACCCCTAAACCTTCTAAACCCTAGGCCCTAAACCCTAACTGTTGAGGCCTCCCATCTGCTCTTCAAGCGTCGCTTCCTGCGCGTGGATGAGAAGTTGAAGCCTGAAACTGAGAGAACCCGGAAACCTGGGCCGTAAGGCCTAATTTTAATAGGGTTTAGGGTTGAGGGTTTAGGGTTTAGGGCTTTGGGTCTCAATGTTTAGGCATCAGTGGCGAAGGGTTTGGCCAGGAACCCGGCTTCCGCCTTTCTAGGTAAAGAGGGATTGAAGGTGAACGTTGTTGTGCGCAAGCTTGTAGAGTTATAATGTACGGGTTCCGGGTATACTTGAAAGTTCGTCGGCAGTTGAGAGCATGGTCGTACGATATCAGCACCCAAAGCGGGTAAGTGGAGTCTGTGTCCCTTGCTAAGACCCACACAATGTGCCGTGCCCGAAATCCCGATGAGCTCCAAATTAATGTAGGGGCCTTAGCGGTTAGATTAGGGTTCGGGGGTATAGTATGCTATAATTATATTGAGGAACCCCCAAAACCCTATTCTAATTATTAAGGCCCGTACCATAATAAAGTCACAGGATGGCCCACGACAGACCTTTCGAATCATGGTTTTGGGGGACCTAATTCCAGAGATCTTATAGTATATACGGATTTCCGTAGTCACTTAAGGATCCAAGTCGCTAAGGGTCCATGTGCCTGAAGGTTCTGTACTTACGCCTTAAACTGTCTATTTGGGTAGTAAATCAGGGTCCCTTTTTTAATGGGTCCCCAAACAGTACGGCACCCTGTTGAAAAGGACCTTGAAAGGGACCCAACTTAGAGAACTGCCCATATGTGGACCCTCTTAGAAGTCTGTTTCCTTTTCAGTCCTGGCGATTTGATCCACGCGACCCTGACCTACCGGCAGGCCTGCGGACTGGTCTGTGATCCAATCCCAAGGGTCCTCACCAGCTATGAGGGTTCCGATAAGGGTCAGGGCTCCATCATGGGACCATTAGGGTTTAGGGTTTGAGGGTCCATGTTCATATATTTAATATATACACCTTCGCCCCGCAGTAGCTATACAGGGACTACTCTAAGGCCGGAATGATCTCCTTGCGCCCCAAATGCCACCTAGACCCACAGGTGCCCTTGCTTCCTATGGTGTACCCTGTAATGCAAGTGTTTACAACGAGGCCACCTTAAAGGGTGGTAAGCAGCAGCGGCGGTATGTTTTATAGAGTATTTAGTATCGGGTAGGGAAAGGCACAATTACCCCTAAGCCCTAAACCCTAAACCTCTTGTAACCCCGCAGCCCCACCATGGCACTGGCACCCGTACCCGACACGCGCTTCGGGGTTTAGGTTCCCTGAAAATCCATGTGCCTAAATAGTATATACATTAGACCCTAAAGTACCTATATAGGGACTACTTTAAGGCCAAACTATATCTATTTGTGTACATGGACCCTTAGGAGTTTGGAGTAAGCTGCAGTCCCTCGACCGGTAACTGCAAGAAGCAGCACAAGTCATCAAACCAAACCCTGCCAGACGTCGAGCGGTCTAACCCTAAACCTGAAATCCTAAATTCTGAACCCCTAAACCCTAAACCCCTAAACCCTAAATCCTAAACCCTGCCTCCATGCAGGATGAAGGGCTTTCTGACATCATTCGGAAGAGCTGGAGTGCCTATTTGCTCATCCCCTTCTCCCAGATCCGAAGTCCGTACCGAAACCTCGCCTCAGTGTTTGGGGTTGAAGTCTTTCTGAACTTGTTGATTGCTTGTTCGCAGGTTTAACATTTAGGGCTTTAGGGTTTGGGGTTTAGGATTAAAGGTCTCCTACCCTAAGGGTCCATGTACCCAAATAGTATATACATTGGCCCTAAAGTACCTCTATAGGGACTACATTAAGGCCAAAGTATACATTATTTGGGTACATGGACAGTTAGGGTTAGGGCTTTCGGGCTCATGGTTTGCAGGGCAGACGTTGCCAGCAGAACGTGCGCAGGTCTTGTGGGACTTTCTCCACTACCCTGTGCAGGAGGCCACCGAAGTCAGAGCCTAAACCCTAAACCCTAAACCCTAAACCCCTAAACCCCTAAACCCTAAACCCTAAACCCTAAACCCTAAACCCCTAAACCCTAAGCCACACCATGGGTTTGTCATAAGCAGGTCTGAATAAGTATGAGTAGTATGAGGGATCCCTCATATTCCCCTAAACCCGAAACGCTAAAATCCTAAATCCTAAACCCTAAAACCCTAAACCCTAAAATCCTAAACCCAAAACCCCATATTCCCTCTCATCTTCCCCTAGTTCCTTCACCTGACTTGCAGGACGAGACGTTCATCAGCTCTATCGCTGCATCCATCGTCAACTTAGAGCCTGCCGGCTGAGACTCGCGTGGGGTTTGGGGTTTAGGATTGGGGTTTAGGGTTTTGGGTTTTGAGTTCAGGGTTTAGGGTTTAGGGTTTTGGGTTTTGGGTTTAGGGTTTTGGGTTTTGGGTTTAGGGTTCTCGCATGGGGGTAGTTCTCTGCTGCACGGTCCCTTTAAAGGGTTTAGGGTTTAGGGTTCCTTTAAGGGGTCTATAGGCATCTATAGGGTTTAGGGTTTGGGGTTGGGGGTGCGCGGGTAGTGTTCTACTGCAGGGTCCCTTTAAAGGGTTCTTCAAGGGCTCCTTTGACTTTAATGGATGTCTAATGCAGGGTCCCTTTGAAGGGTTCTTTGAGGGCCCCTTTAAAGGATCTAGAGGCATGTTTGGGGTTCGGGGTTTTGGGGGGTAGTTCTCTGAATTAGGTTCCCGTTATAATGACCCAAATTAAGGCGGCAGCCTTATACAAAGGACCCTGAAAAGGACCCTATGTAGAGAACTAGATAGGGGCCTAAAGAATTACCTCTACGCTTTTTGGGGGGTTCCATATGCCTACAGCTGCAGAAAAGATTTTAAGTACCCCAACAACCTATTCTAATTATTCAGGCTGGCTGAGACCGTTGGCGGTTCGGGGTTTTGGGGTTCGGGGTTTGGGGTTTATTAGGTTGGGGCGGTTAGTGTTATTACGATTTAGGGTCCATATGTTGGTTTTAGCCCTAAACCCTAAACCCTAAATGGGATGTAAGGGATGGTTCAGGGGTGTAGGGATGTAGGTGTTTGCTTTTACGGGCTCAGGTTGTAGGGCCCAGGAGAGGAGGCACCGTGTAATCTAAAGCGTCCAAGTCTCTCCATCGTGGTCTCTAAATAAGGGTCGCTTTTGGATCCTGTGATTGCGAGAGTGATCTTAGCCTTTTCGATGACACTTATACAGGCAAGAAGTGCGGTCAAAGTGTAATTATACTCGTTGGACTACCTGGACCCTGTAGGGACTTTAGGGTAAGGTGCAGTCCAGTTCTTCGAGCTCGCCCCCATACAGGGTCTAAAAACCGAGACCTGTTATCCCTTCAGGGTTCAGAGATTTATCGTTCTGGGTTTCGACATATGGACAGCATCTCCACGTTCGGGCGAAGCAGCAGGTGCTGGGCATGGGATTTGGTTGTTCGGCGGATCCGTCGCCTGTCTTTGTGTTATATGCACATACGAGATAAGTTTCAGGTCGGCGATCAAATTGGCACCCTTGTCCCCGAACCCTAAACCCCTAACCCCCCGGTTCGTTTGCAGTCAAGGAAGGCTCCAAGCGTCAACTCAATCCAGAGCTCAAAGCCAAGAACCCTAGACCCTGAACCCCTCCACGAATACGATCCTAATTCTGAAAGGCCATGTCGCAAGCCCTGAACCTCGAAGTAAGCTTGAATTCTTGTTCGGTGTTCAACATGTCAATCACTGTGTAAATTGGTTTGCTCAGCGGCAAGACAACGACTTTGACAGCACGCTGGCATGAAGACGTTGCAACATTGAAGCGTCGGGCACAGACCGCACTTGGGGTGGGAAGGGGGCGGCAAGTGGACTCGACTGGAAATGTGTTGGACGCATGTTTGTGGATCATGGAGGCTCGGGTACTGAATGGTGCCTCACTAACCTTGCACATAAGCGGCGGTCAAGTTCAGTCCAATCGTGGTGCTTTTGCTGCCATTCTTGGGGATGGATCAGTGGAAACATGGGGTTATGCTAATGGATGTTGCAGCTTGTATGGTGCGGTGCAGAGTCAGCTTAAAAATGTGCAGCAGATCCAAGCCACCAGGCAGGCTTTTGCGGCCATTCTTGGTGACGGATCTGTCGTGACTTGGGGTGATGTTGGCAGTGGCGGTGTGCAGCATCAGCTGAAGAATGCGCAGCAGATCCAAGCCACCGAATGTGCTTTTGCTGCTATACTTGCTGATGGATCCGTCGCGACCTTGGGTGATGCTCGCTTTGGTGGTGACAGCAGTGCGGTGCAGGATCAGTTGAAGACTGTGCAGCATATCCAAGCCACTAGTTCGGCTTTCGCTGCCATCCGTGGTGATGGATCCGTCGTGACCTGGGGTGATGCTCGCTTTGGCGGTGACAGTCGTGTTGTGCAGAACCAGCTAAAGACTCAGCGAAAGAATGTGCAGCAGATCCAAGCCTGTCGCTTTGCCTTCGCTGCCATTCTCCACGATGGATCCGTTGCCACCTGGGGTGATGCTTTGTCTGGTGGTGACAGCAGTGCGGTGCAGGATCAGCTGCAGAATGTCCAGCAGGTCCAAGCCACTCGGGGGGCTTTTGCTGCTATTCTCGGTGACGGATCTGTCGTGACCTGGGGAGGTGCCGAAGACGGTGGTGACAGCAGTAATGTGCAGGATCGGCTGAGGAGTGTGCAGCAGATCCAAGCCTCTCAGCATGCTTTCGCTGGCATTCTAGGTGACGGATCCGTGGTGACCTGGGGTGATGCCTTGTCTGGTGGTGACAGCAGTTCTGTGCAGTATCAGTTGAAGAGTGTGCAACAGATCCAAGCCGGTCGCTTTGCTTTTGCCGCCATTCTTGACGATAGATCCGTCGTGACATGGGGGGATACGGACCGTGGTGGCGACAGTAGTGCTGTGCGGCATCAGCTAAAGAATGTGCAGCAGATCCAAGCGAACGACCGTGCATTTGCTGCTATTCTTGATGATGGGTTCGTGGTGACCTGGGGTGCTGCTCACTATGGCGGCGACAGTAGTGCTGTGCAGAATCAGTTGAAGAATGTGCAGCAGATCCATGCCAATTTCCGTGCTTTTGTCGCCATTTGTGCTGACGGCTCCGTCGTGTCCTGGCCGTGGGCAAATCATGATGCTGATGGGACGGCACTGCAGTATAAAAGTCGAGGAGGCAGGCGGCGTTCTCAATCTTTGGGTTTAAATGCAGCAACACTGTGTAAGGCCTGTGTAGGCATATGACAGAGATGACATCCACGGGATGAGCGCGACTTTGGCAGCTTTCCTGCGAGTCGAGCTTGCATGCGGTATTCTCAATATGTCGGGCTTAACTGCAGCACTGTGCAAGGTGTGCGTATGCGTATGAAAAAAGATGGCATCCAAGGGCTCAGTGCGACTTTGGCAGCCTTCCTGCACATAAATTGTCCACAGTTGCCTCAGAGCATGCGTAGTCTGGCTAGCTTGTTTAAGTGCAAGATGCTGGCGGCCTCAGTATCAGTTGGTCCAAGAAGTTGGAAGTGCTTACCAAGTGAGCGTGTGGGATCTGCACACTGGAGACCCGAATGGACGCATGAGGACTAGGGTTTAGGGTTTAGGGTTAACCTGATTCTGACAGGGGTTTACCGGCTTTCCCCTAACAGATAATCAACCCCAAAGCCAACGCCCTTCACGTAAGTTGTCCAGTCAACTTCTGCTCCTTCTCTTGCTTTGCTCGGGGCCGCGCTCCTTCTGCTACACAGCATCATCAACAACAACAGTGGCTGCTACTACTACTACTACTACTACTACTACTACTATACTACTACTACCAGTACTAGTACTAGTACTAGTACTACTACTACTACTACTACTACTACTACTACTACGACTAGTACTACTACTACTACTACTACTACTACTACTACTACTATTCCTACTGCTACTGCTACT